AAAAAAATAAAAAAAATGTAGAATCGTACCATAAAAAAACTTATCTTTTAAAAAAAAAGATAAACAAGATGCCAAGTCCATGCGCCATGTAAAAAGAAATAAAAAAATTTTAGTTAAAAAAACTGGGAGCGCTGCTAAATAATATTCTAACAATATTAAAATTAAATTGTTACTTTTAAACTCATTACAGTTAAAATATGTTTTGTGTTTAAATTAATTAATGTTACTTTAAGGTGCATTGTAATTTTGAAACTTAGCAGCGCGCCCAGTTTTTTTAACTAAAATTTTTTTATTTCTTTTTCACATGGCGCATGGACTTGGCATCTTGTTTATCTTTTTTTTTAAAGATAAGTTTTTTTATGGTACGATTCTACATTTGCAAATTTAAATTTTTACTGATTCATTATACGACTCTATATATGTCTGCAACTTTAATTTTCCACTGGTACAAGTTTCTACTTTCACTTGGCGCAATTTTTTTTTTATTTCATTACTTTTGTTACGATTGTACATGGGTTTATAATCGATAATTTTTCATACAATTCTATTGTACATGGGTTTGCAATGTAGGATTCTACATAAGTTTGCAATGGATAATTTTTAATACAATTCTACATGAGTTTGCAATGGTTAATTTTGCCTAGGATTCTACATGGGTTTGCAATGATTAATTTTTATAGGATTCTACATGGGTTTGCAATAGGATAGGATTCTACATGGGTTTGCAATGGATAATTTTTGTTAATGGCGTGCCCTTAACTGGTCGCCTTTTTTTACCTTTTTTTAAAGGTGAGTTTTTAGAGATTATATCATTCATTTTTGTATATTTTTATGACCGGAATAGAACAATTATTAAACATGTTTATCTAAACTTCTTTGCTTAAAATGATGTGTACAATCATATCCTAGAATCCTGATCATTCCTCCTAAAGCACCCTATTTATATAAATTTACCCATATGTGTGTGTGTGTGTGTGTGTGTACTAATGTCGAGCATTTTTTATACATTTTCTATTAAATTTAGATAAAAGTTGCAGGATTTCGAAAAAGAAAAAGTTGACACAGACTTTTTCCTAAACGGCGATTTTCAAGGTTATTTAAAGGTCACTTATATTTTCAAAATAGAATTACCTTAATTTTTCTCATATAAATCGATTCCTCGCAATATTTACTATAAAAAGTTGTAAAGGTATAATTTTTACATAATCTTACATAAACTTCGAAATATTACAAATATTTTATTTTATGAAATATTTCAGTTTATGTAAAATTATGTTAACTATCTTTTAAATTATTCACTTTTAGCCATCTTACCCTTACAACCTTTTATAGTGAATATTGCAACAAATTGGTTTATATATATAATATATATATAACATCAGTTATTATTAATTGATGTTTACATTTATTTTTAGACTTACTAGAGCTCAAATGCTCCACATTTTTTGCAAAAACTGTTTATTCTACAGATTTCAAATATGCTTTTAAATGATGATTGAATATTTCCTTTTTTTAATTATTTTTATTATTATTTTTCAATCTCAATCAACTTTTATAACTTTATGCCAGCACGATACAAATACATGTGTCTTTATTTTTTTTATTATTTTCATTATTATTTTTCAATCTCAATCAACTTCTATAACCTTATGCCAGCAGGATACAAATACATGTATGTCTTTATTATTGTATCAACTCTTGTCTTTTCCATGTAACCATGTCTTCATAGTTTGAATTATCCCTTCATCTTCTCAATCTTTCGCAGAGATTTAATTAATTAAATACACTTCACACGAAATAAAGTTTGCTGGAAGATATACAGCAAACGATAACTGTAAAAACATGATTACGTGGAAAGAACAAGAGTTGGTACAGTAAAGGCAAGTAAGTAAGTACATGTAATGTATCGTATTGGCATAACGCTATATCCGCGGAGCAGATAATGTGGCTGTAGAGGTAGTCTGCAGTGCAGCTAATGTGGACGTAGATGTTGATTGAGATAATTGTCTAATATAAAATAGAATTTAAAAATTTAGTTTAAAAAGCTGTTGCATATATAAATAAAGTTTATTTTTTCTAAATTTGGAATATGTTTAATTAATTAATTTTTTAAGTTTATGTTTAATAAATTTTTTAAGTCTGTATTCAATAATTTTATTCATTTGATAAATACATGTATGTCTTTATTTTGATATGTTTAATATAATTAGAAATTCATTATTAATTAGATATGTAAACTATAAATTCATATATAATATTTGAAAATATATGTGAATATTTAAATTTTTATCTTCTCCTTCCTCTCCTTCAATCTCTTTAATATCAATATGTGTATGTGTGTACACGCGCGCACATTTGTACGTATTTATTTAATTATTGGATAGTTGAGAGTACTTAATTGATAAAAAATTATGACAATAATAATCCTTGTTTTTTTTTCTTATTACTCAGATTTTTTTGTCTATCTTATAAGATAAACACTTTAGAGATTGAATATTTCAAGTAAACTAATTGTAAGTAAATTTCACATTAATGCATATAGATGTTTAATCATGAATGTACTGAATAAGTACACAAGACGAACAGTGAGTGAGTGAGTGAGAATGAGAGAGTGTGTGTGTGTGTGCGTGTGTGTGTGAGAGAGAGAGAGAGAGAGAGAGAGAGAGAGAGAGAGAGAGAGAGAGAGTTAGCCAACATAACCCCGCACGCTGCCGATCATGAATGTACTAAATAAGTACACAAGACGAACAGTGAGTGAGTGAGTGAGAATGAGAGTGTGTGTGTGTGTGCGTGTGTGTGTGAGAAAGAGAGAGAGAGAGAGAGAGAGAGAGGAGAGAGAGAGAGAGAGAGAGAGAGAGAGAGAGAGAGAGAGAGAGAGAGAGAGAGAGAGAGAGAGAGAGAGAGAGAGAGAGAGAGAGAGAGAGAGAGAGAGAGAGTTAGCCAACATAACCCCGCACGCTGCCGATATGGCGGAGCGCCACTATCGCCATCTGTTGTAAAACGTGCGAGATGGACAAAATTACCACTACATGCATCTTGCATGTGTTGTGTACGTGTGATATATGTGTGCGCATGTGTTGTATACGTGTGAATACGTGTAGCACGATACTACTATGTATGCGTGGTCGATGATGATAATGATGATGATAATGATGATAATGATGATGATAATGATGACGGGGACGTTTCTTAATAGAAATTTTTCATATTTCGACTTTGCATTTATATATCTCTGCTTACAAATCACGTAGAGCAGAAATAAAGACACTTTTATTATATAATTCGAACTCAATCTATCGATTAAGTCTAGTATAAACTCGATTGCTTCAGCCATTATTGAGGATTCGAAATATTATAAAGACTCAAATGTCCGACTCGCGTTAAGATACACGGTGTCTCCGCTACGCCCGTAACTGGTCGCGAGACACTACCGTGTCTCTTGATATTTATCCAGTCAAATATCACCCATTGAATTGACATATAATCAACGTCGAAATTATCGAAATTACATGTACTTCGATGTAATTGTGATGATTTCGACGTCGATTATATGTCAATTCGATGGATGATTTCTGACTGGGTAAATATTACAATACATGCAATTAATAATTCAGCTGTGATTATATTACTCGGACAATATATACTATTAGACAAGGAGTGTTATAAAAAAAATTAAACAAGTAATCTGTAATCTTTAATTATTTTTATTTGACAGTTACACATACATACACAGTAAATATTATTTATATATATTGTAAATGTTAAATTTGATTAAATATTACTATACATGCAATCAATCGCTCCGAAACGCAAATGTCTGACGCTGTAAACTCGAAAAGAGAATGATAAATTTGACTTACACACTTTTCTGTATAATAAAAAACGTATAGAGTCCTCAATTCGCATATAATTGTAAAGAATTCCGTGTCGAATATAATGATGAATATACTAATTCGCATGAATGTTATTAGGATTATCGACCTTAAAGCTCGTCGCCGTGCGCTTTTCCTCCTGACTTCCCATGGGCTGTAGATGCGTATAAGACGCATTAATTCAACGGAGATTCAAGGAGAGTAATCAAAAAATTTAGCAAGTATAATTTGTAATCTGTAATAATTTTACTTGACAGTCACGCAAACGCACGCACGCACGCACGCACGCACGCACACGCACGCACACGCACACACACACACACACACACACACACACACACACACACACACACGCACGCACGCACGCACGCACGCACGCACGCACACACACACACACACACACGCACACCCACACAGTAAATATTATTTACATATTTTAAAAATACGTTACATTTATCACGTATACGTTACAAATATTACATAATAAATCCAATCAACCATGTCGAAACGCAAATGTCTGTCGCGTATTTCAGCGAGGTATCGCCGTAAGTTAATTCGAGAAGAGAGTGACGCATTATTTTCACTTGTCTTTAATGAAGAACGTAGAGCCAATTTGCACGAAATTAAAAATAATTTTACTTCGGATAATTCGGATAATAATGAATGTAGATCCAATTCGCACATAATTTTAAATAATTCCGCTTCGAGTAATGATAATGATGACTCTGGGAATGTTAATTTGAATAATACTCTTTTCGAAACACAAGAGGCAAATTTAACACATTCTAGTGAAACGAGAATCTCCGAATCTGATGTTTCTTTAAACAATGTATTGCCACACTTTATCAGAGAGGATAATAATTCAGAAAACGAAAACAATGATTTTGAAACATTTTTAGTACAATGGGCTATTACGCATCGTATTTCTCATGTAGCTTTATCACATTTATTGTCTGGTTTAAAAAAAGTGCATCCAATTTTTTCTAATTTGCCAAAATGTGCAAAGACATTATTACGTACACCACGATCTTCTAACGTTATTAATGAGATATTTCCTGGTCAATATTGTCATTTGGGTATGGAATATAGTATTTTGCAATTTTTATCTAAAAGTAATAATTCATTTTCTATTAAAATTCAAATCGGTATTGATGGTTTACCAATATCTCGATCCAATTCAAATCAATTATGGCCCATTTTAGGTCGTATTATGCCTCACGGGAAAGTATTTCTTATTGGTTGTTATTTCGGCAAAACCAAACCAGCGGATGCAAATCAATTCTTAGAACAATTTGTAAAAAATGTTACAGTTTTAATTAATGAAGGCATAACTTATAACGAAACAACATTCCCAGTGTCGATACATTCTATCATTTGTGATGCTCCGGCTAAATCTTTTATTACGCTTACTAAAGGACATACTGGTTATTTTAGCTGTTCGAAATGTACAATTGAAGGTGATTTTATCGCTAATAGAATTTGTTTTCCCGATTTTGATTGGCAAAAAAGAACAGACGCTAACTTTCGTAATCAAACCCAAGAAGAATACCATCTCGGTCGTCCTATTCTATTGAATATTCCAAATTTTGACATTGTGTCTCAAATTCCATTAGATTATATGCATTTGATATGTATCGGCGTTGTTAAGAAGCTAATAAAATTATGGATATGCGGTCCTCTTAATGCTAGATATTTATCCTCGCAACGAATACAAAATATTTCCAAATTTCTTCTCGATATCAGGCATTTTATTCCGAAAGAATTTGCGAGAAGACCGCGAGAAATTGAAGATTTTGCACAGTGGAAAGCAACCGAATTGAGACAATTTTTGTTATATACCGGTCCCGTTGTATTGCAAAAAGAATTAAAGCCTGATGTATTTTCCAACTTTCTCACTTTGCATGTTGCTGTTCGTATTTTATGTCAAAATAATATAATCTCTAAAAACTCACCTTTAAAAAAAGGTAAAAAAAGGCGACCAGTTAAGGGCACGCCATTAACAAAAATTATCCATTGCAAACCCATGTAGAATCCTATCCTATTGCAAACCCATGTAGAATCCTATGAAAAATTAATCATTGCAAACCCATGTAGAATCCTAGGCAAAATTAACCATTGCAAACCCATGTAGAATCGTACCCATTGCAAACCTATGTAGAATCCTATGAAAAATTAACCATTGCAAACTCATGTAGAATCCTATGAAAAATTAACCATTGCAAACCCATGTAGAATTGTATTAAAAATTATCCATTGCAAACTTATGTAGAATCCTACATTGCAAACCCATGTACAATAGAATTGTATGAAAAATTATCGATTATAAACCCATGTACAATCGTAACAAAAGTAATGAAATAAAAAAAATAAAAAAATGTAGAATCGTACCATAAAAAAACTTATCTTTTAAAAAAAAGATAAACAAGATGCCAAGTCCATGCGCCATGTGAAAAAGAAATAAAAAAATTTTAGTTAAAAAAACTGGGCGCGCTGCTAAGTTTCAAAATTACAATGCACCTTAAAGTAACATTAATTAATTTAAACACAAAACATATTTTAACTGTAATGAGTTTAAAAGTAACAATTTAATTTTAATATTGTTAGAATATTATTTAGCAGCGCTCCCAGTTTTTTTAACTAAAATTTTTTTATTTCTTTTTCACATGGCGCATGGACTTGGCATCTTGTTTATCTTTTTTTTTAAAAGATAAGTTTTTTTATGGTACGATTCTACATTTTTTATTTTTTTTATTTCATTACTTTTGTTACGATTGTACATGGGTTTATAATCGATAATTTTTCATACAATTCTATTGTACATGGGTTTGCAATGTAGGATTCTACATAAGTTTGCAATGGATAATTTTTAATACAATTCTACATGGGTTTGCAATGGTTAATTTTTCATAGGATTCTACATGAGTTTGCAATGGTTAATTTTTCATAGGATTCTACATAGGTTTGCAATGGGTACGATTCTACATGGGTTTGCAATGGTTAATTTTGCCTAGGATTCTACATGGGTTTGCAATGATTAATTTTTCATAGGATTCTACATGGGTTTGCAATAGGATAGGATTCTACATGGGTTTGCAATGGATAATTTTTGTTAATGGCGTGCCCTTAACTGGTCGCCTTTTTTTACCTTTTTTTAAAGGTGAGTTTTTAGAGATTATATCATTCATTTTTGTATATTTTTATGACCGGAATAGAACAATTATTAAACATGTTTATCTAAACTTCTTTGCTTAAAATGATGTGTACAATCATATCCTAGAATCCTGATCATTCCTCCTAAAGCACCCTATTTATATAAATTTACCCATATGTGTGTGTGTGTGTGTGTGTACTAATGTCGAGCATTTTTTATACATTTTCTATTAAATTTAGATAAAAGTTGCAGGATTTCGAAAAAGAAAAAGTTGACACAGACTTTTTCCTAAACGGCGATTTTCAAGGTTATTTAAAGGTCACTTATATTTTCAAAATAGAATTACCTTAATTTTTCTCATATAAATCGATTCCTCGCAATATTTACTATAAAAAGTTGTAAAGGTATAATTTTTACATAATCTTACATAAACTTCGAAATATTACAAATATTTTATTCTATGAAATATTTCAGTTTATGTAAAATTATGTTAACTATCTTTTAAATTATTCACTTTTAGCCATCTTACCCTTACAACCTTTTATAGTGAATATTGCAACAAATTGGTTTATATATATAATATATATATAACATCAGTTATTATTAATTGATGTTTACATTTATTTTTAGACTTACTAGAGCTCAAATGCTCCACATTTTTTGCAAAAACTGTTTATTCTACAGATTTCAAATATGCTTTTAAATGATGATTGAATATTTCCTTTTTTTAATTATTTTTATTATTATTTTTCAATCTCAATCAACTTTTATAACTTTATGCCAGCACGATACAAATACATGTGTCTTTATTTTTTTTATTATTTTCATTATTATTTTTCAATCTCAATCAACTTCTATAACCTTATGCCAGCAGGATACAAATACATGTATGTCTTTATTATTGTATCAACTCTTGTCTTTTCCATGTAACCATGTCTTCATAGTTTGAATTATCCCTTCATCTTCTCAATCTTTCGCAGAGATTTAATTAATTAAATACACTTCACACGAAATAAAGTTTGCTGGAAGATATACAGCAAACGATAACTGTAAAAACATGATTACGTGGAAAGAACAAGAGTTGGTACAGTAAAGGCAAGTAAGTAAGTACATGTAATGTATCGTATTGGCATAACGCTATATCCGCGGAGCAGATAATGTGGCTGTAGAGGTAGTCTGCAGTGCAGCTAATGTGGACGTAGATGTTGATTGAGATAATTGTCTAATATAAAATAGAATTTAAAAATTTAGTTTAAAAAGCTGTTGCATATATAAATAAAGTTTATTTTTTCTAAATTTGGAATATGTTTAATTAATTAATTTTTTAAGTCTATGTTTAATAAATTTTTTAAGTCTGTATTCAATAATTTTATTCATTTGATAAATACATGTATGTCTTTATTTTGATATGTTTAATATAATTAGAAATTCATTATTAATTAGATATGTAAACTATAAATTCATATATAATATTTGAAAATATATGTGAATATTTAAATTTTTATCTTCTCCTTCCTCTCCTTCAATCTCTTTAATATCAATATGTGTATGTGTGTACACGCGCGCACATTTGTACGTATTTATTTAATTATTGGATAGTTGAGAGTACTTAATTGATAAAAAATTATGACAATAATAATCCTTGTTTTTTTTTCTTATTATTTACTCAGATTTTTTTGTCTATCTTATAAGATAAACACTTTAGAGATTGAATATTTCAAGTAAACTAATTGTAAGTAAATTTCACATTAATGCATATAGATGTTTAATCATGAATGTACTAAATAAGTACACAAGACGAACAGTGAGTGAGTGAGTGAGAATGAGAGAGTGTGTGTGTGTGCGTGTGTGTGTGAGAGAGAGAGAGAGAGAGAGAGAGAGAGAGAGAGAGAGAGAGAGAGAGAGAGAGAGAGTTAGCCAACATAACCCCGCACGCTGCCGATATGGCGGAGCGCCACTATCGCCATCTGTTGTAAAACGTGCGAGATGGACAAAATTACCACTACATGCATCTTGCATGTGTTGTGTACGTGTGATATATGTGTGCGCATGTGTTGTATACGTGTGAATACGTGTAGCACGATACTACTATGTATGCGTGGTCGATGATGATAATGATGATGATAATGATGATAATGATGATGATAATGATGACGGGGACGTTTCTTAATAGAAATTTTTCATATTTCGACTTTGCATTTATATATCTCTGCTTACAAATCACGTAGAGCAGAAATAAAGACACTTTTATTATATAATTCGAACTCAATCTATCGATTAAGTCTAGTATAAACTCGATTGCTTCAGCCATTATTGAGGATTCGAAATATTATAAAGACTCAAATGTCCGACTCGCGTTAAGATACACGGTGTCTCCGCTACGCCCTTAACTGGTCGCGAGACACTACCGTGTCTCTTGATAGTACGGCTGAATATATTGAATACGCGAGCAAATTATTGAGATATTTCGTTGAATGTTTTATTAAAATTTACGGGCCCGAATTTGTGTCTCATAATATTCACGGGCTTCTACACATTACTGATTGCGTAAAACAATTTGGGCCGTTAGATACTTTCAGTGCCTTTCCGTTTGAAAATTTTATGAAAGAATTAAAATCTATTTTAAGAAAATCTGAAAAACCATTGGAGCAAATTAGCAATCGCTATGCGGAAATCAGTTTTTGTAAAGTAAATTCTGACAATGTTAATATTTCAAAAATAAATGTAAAGAATCCACACGAGAGAGGACCGCTAATATCAGGTTGTTTTAATCCACAATTTTCGAAGATTGAATTTCCTCATTTTATTATTTCAGTCAAATCTCCTGATAATTGTTGTCTCATAGATAAAGATATCGTTTGTTTGGAAAATATCGCAACATCGAGTGAAGGCAATTATATTGCAGTAGGTTGTAAATTTAAGGTTGTCGAAGAACTTTATAATAATCCATGTAGTTCTGTTCATTTGGATATATTTAAAGTGAGTAAATTATCTGACATTCAAGTCTGGCCTTTACATAAAATTAGATCTAAATTTATAAAATTGCCATATAAAAATGAAAGATATTTCGCAGTAATACCGCTTATAAGCACCGCACATTTATAATATTTACATATTGCGCTCCGCTTTGTAATATCTTTTATAAATAAAAAATTAAAATAAATTGATAAAATTTAAATAAACTGACAAAATTGTGGTTGAGACAACAATTACATATACATAACAAATGCATGTACATAACAATACACATATACACAAAACACATCTATATAAATTGATTTCTTTTTTTATTACAATATTACACGCAGAAGCTCTTTTTTAGAATCGCATTGGAAGATGTCGAATCAAGGCTTTGTCGTCGCAGAATTCCCGGATGGTATTCAAGTAATACCAAAAATTTGGTTGCAAAATAAAGATAAATGCAAATATCTCTCGCATTTTAAGACGGATATAAAAATCCGAAAAGCGGTAGAGAAACAGGAGATACCAAAGTTTGATTGGCCCGCATTAGAAGTTATAAGAATTTTTGGCGAGTATTGTAAGTACTATATTTAAGTATAGGGTTTTACTGACTTTTATAAATATTTTACTTATTTATAATATTTAATGTTTATAATATTTTCAGCGTCCTTACAGAAGGCTTATGCGAAGGCAGAGAAAGCTTTATACACGTCAGATATGGACACGGAAAAGGAAGCAAAATATTACCGAAAACATAGAGCGAGAAAAATTTACTCTTCGTCGGAAAGCGAAGAAGAGTCTGGTGTAAATTTGCCACCTGCTCCATGTCCTCCTGCAAAACGTAACGTTATAAGCATTTTCATTGCGCGCGCCCGCGTGTGTGTGTGTATATACATACACACACACGCATTCAATGTATATATATTTTCTTCATTAAATATATGTATGTATATATATGTGTAAAACTCTCTTATATCTCTTATATTTAACATATTGTATTATATATTTTATACATATATTTACACATATATATTATACATATATTTTATTTTATACACACACATACACACGCACGCACGCACGCACGCAATATTCGTACAACGTCACCTTCGCATATGAAAATTTTTTATATGAGAATAAGCGTTCATGTTTGTCAGTATAATTACAATTAGCATTACTATACACATAATTGTATCTATAATATATATATATTGTTTTACCGACCTAATTTGTCTAATTATAAGACGTCCTCGCGTTACTCGGGTAAAATATATTAATATATGTATAATCTGGAAAGATTTTTTTCGTAGAAACCGAAAATGGAGCGAGAAAATTTTTCGTATGCGAAAATGATGCTGCGCGATCCCTCTGATTGGTATATATTTTTAACTGTGTAAAAGTATATACCAATCTCACATACACACATACACGCACGCACGCACACGCACACACACACACACACAACACACAACACACAATTTTCGTTCAGCGTCATCTTCGTATACGAAAATTTTTCATAAGAGAATAAGCGTTCATGTTTGTCATCATTACAATTAGCATTACTATACAAATATTTGTATCTATATATTATTTTATCGACCTAATTTGTCTAATTATAAGATAATGTCCTCGCGTTACTCATCGGAAAAAAATATATATATGTATAATCTGGGAACATTGTTTTAGTATTGAGACCGAAAATCAAGCGAGAAAAGTCTTCCTTTTGTAAATTCGGTATGTTATCTTTCTTTGTCATTCTAGGAGTTATGTAATAAAGGTCGCAAAAAAATTTATATATATATTGAAAATACACTTGTAGTAATTTTATATTAACATATTGTATTATATAATTATACTTTTATTTATAAACGTTATCAATAAAAATATATATTCTATTATAAAAAAATTGTCTACGTTAATTTTCATTAATTATTAGGAGATATTTATTTATCGAATTAATTTCTAAATTGTTGAATGTTTTTTAATCATTATTTATTTATTTGCGTACTTGTAACAGTAATTTTATTAAAAACTAGCTAATGTATTTTTGCAAGATTTAAAGTCATTTCAAATTCAATACTTTCTATTTTTAATTAAAAAATTAAAAATTTTTTATATTTAATAATAAATTTTATAAATATTACAGTTTAATCTAAAAAGTTTTGATTCATACAATTTGTTAATCTTGCTATTACTATTGTATTATTATGTAAGTATATTTTTAAAAACTGTTTTAATAAATGTTACGTATATATAAGTTGAAAATTGAATAATATATATATAATTACAAATTTTTCAATATTTTTTAAAACATTCTCAGAAATAAGAATTTTAAATAAAACTTAATTTTTATTTTATTCAATGCAAGGATGTATAAATCTATCATATATCCATAATAGATGTCTAATGTACATCCATGATGAATTTGTAGACGATATCTATTGTGGAGATAGTATGGATATCTATTAGAAATCCATCTATTGTCCACCGTGGAGGTAGAGGTCGCATGGAGGTATGGAGGTTATATGGATGTTTTGTTCCGTGTGGGATCATACGTTACTCGTAAGTTCTTCATATCTGTATATATATATATATATATATATATATATATATATATATATACACTATATATATATATATATATATAATATTTCATTTATTTATAAAATACATTTTTAATTCATATTCAACCTGAATGATATTTTCTATATGTTTATGCTATCCTCCGATCTATCCCTAACAAATTAGGAGGTGTAATTGCATTATTATCATCAATTATTATCTTTATTTTTTACCTCTAATTTCTATAAAATTTAATTCATTATCATTTTATCCTTTAAATCAATATTTATTTTGAATTTTCATTAATATTTTTATTCTATTAACATGAGCAGGAGCTCAACCTTTTATCATTATTAGACAAATTTTATCATTATGTTACTTTCTTTATTTTATCTTATTACCTTTCCTAATAAAAATTTGAGATTTAATTATTTTTAAATAAATATTTTAAAATTTATTATTATAAATAAATTTAAAATATTAAAAATAATTATATTTAATATTTAAATTTTTTATAAATTACTATTAAATTAAGTTAATAATCTTGAATTTAAGTTTATGTTTTGAAAACATATTAAAGAAATTTTAATTTTCTATTAACTTTTAAACATTTAATTTTTTTTACTAAATTATTATTAATAATATAAATTTAAATCCAAAAATTAATAAAATATAAACCAAAATTATTGGTAAAATAATTTTCCAACATAAATATATTAATTTATCATATTGTATTCGAGGAAGTATTCCATGTATAAAAATTACTATTCTACATAAAATATTAATTAAAATAAAAGTTAAAATTATTGAATATTTTAATAAATTCCTAAATATATAAATTCTAATTAATCTAAAAAAAATAATTATTCCATATTCAGATAAAAAAATTAATGTAAACCCACCCCTAAAATATTCAATATTAAATCATCTGACTCACTTTCGATAAAATCTATAGGACTTCGATTTAATTCAGCTAAAATCCTAATAAAAACTATAATAAACAAAGGATATAAAACTACTATATATTATAAATAAAATTGATAATTAATAAAATCAAAAAAAAATCTCTCTCTTACTAATATAATAACATAATTTATATTACTAAAATAATATAACATATTACTAAAATAATTAAAATAAATCTTACTTCATATGATAATATTTGTGAAACTGATCGTATTGCCCCTATTATTGAATAAATCGAATTAGCTGATCATCCCATAAAAATTATAACATACCCTCTATTAGTTATAAAAACAATTATTAATAAAATAGAATAATTTAAAAATAAATATTAGTAATGTAAGGAAATACCAATCATATTATTATTAAAACAAATCTAATTATAGGACATAAATAAAAAAAATTATAATTAGATTTATATACATAAAATAATTCTTTATTAAGTAATTTAATAGCATCACTTAAAGGTTGAAATAATCCTATAAATCCCACCTTATTAGGTTCTTTACGAATTTGTACATATCTTAAAATTTTTCGTTCCAATAAAGTTAAAAAAGCTACCCCAACTAATATAATTAATAACAAAATTAACAATCTTAATATATTTAACGCACTATAAAATATAATCTTAAATTTTGACAAATTATTACTTGTATAACTTTTTTCTATTATACATCATTAAAATTCTAAATTTAATACACTTAAATTTTGCCAAAGTAATTTTATTTATTTACATATATTTGATCAATTAAATTTATTCATTAAAAAAATATAATTTAAAAAAAAGTCCTTTTGTACAAAATTTTCTTAATTTTATTATAGATAGAAACCGATCTGGCTTACACCGATCTGAACTCAAATCATGTAAAATTTTATTAGTCGAACAGACTAAAATATTAAACTTCTTTATTTAATTTTTATTTTAATTCAACATCGAGGTCGCAATCATTTTTATTAATATGATCTTTCTAAAAATCTTACGCTGTTATCCCTAAGGTAATTAATTTTTATAATAATTATTATAAAAAAAAAATTTTTCTTAATTTAATAATCAATCCTTTATAAAAATTTCATTAATTAATGTTAAAATTATCTTTAAATTAAAGTTCATTTTATTTAATTATCCTCCCAATAAAATATAATCATTAAAATAAAATTTATTTCCTTAAATAAAAAAATTATATTAATTTAATAGGGTCGTCTCGTCCCATAATTTCTTTTAAGAATTTTAACTTAAAATTTAAATTTTAAATCTACAAATTAAAACAGCTTTAATCAATTCCTTCATTCCAGTTTTCATTTAAAAAACAATTGATTATGCTACCTTTGCACCGTCAATATACTGCGGCTATTTAAAAATCACTGAGCAGAAATAATTTTAAATTATTATCAAAAACCATGTTTTTGTTAAACAAGTAAATTAATGAAAATTAATGTGTATATGCATTACAATATATTCAATACAATATTCTCTTAATTTGAACGAAAATTATAAATAACTTATGCGTAACATATATTTATTTGGACTCCTAAATAAAAAATATATTATATTATTTGCAAAAAATAAGATGAAATATTTTTTATTGGAATAGTCTCAACTGCTCTTTTAGCTGAATGTTTAGAAGCAATGAAAAAAGGATCGAAAATCGAGGATCTACGA